TCATGAATGAGTATATGTAAAACTAACACAGATTTGATCTATTTGTAGGACAACTGATGAGCCCAGCTCAAATGGCAATTCATATATCTTTACAAGCAAACCTTCACATTTTATGACCCAAATAATTCAGAACACTGTGCAGAATAATGTTTGTTTAGCTCAGGCATCATTTTGTGGTCAGTAGGAGCCTCTCAAAGAATTCACTAGAGTGCCTGGCATTGTTGTAATAATTGTATTAATAGTAAATGTAATTTAGTTCCTTCTAGATCAATGAAGAGTGCTTTGTGCCAGCTTTGCTTAAATCTTTTACATGTTTCAAAAGTACACATCTTCAATACAGTGGCATCACCTCCAATTTGAAGAAACCTATTTACTTTGCCATCGAGGAAAAAAATACATCAATCAATTTTCAATTCAGCACCAAAGCCTGTTTTCACACATGCAGATACAGTCTAAATAGGTCCATTATTTTGCTTTACTTTTTAATTTACTGACAAATTAATACATAATTTCTGTTAGTTTTGGTATTGCTATATGGTATTAAAAATGAGAATGATTTTTTCTCTTCACAATTATACAAGAGATGTAAGGTGGTTCTGCATATTAGTCCGCCAGCTTATGTCTAGGCTAAAGATATTCATGAAGTTTGGGAAGACGCAGAAAGCATAGATTTCTATTTTAACTGTTAACAACCTCAAGCTTGAAATGCTGTTTTTCTAATTTCTTTTCAAATACTCAGTGTTTAAGTATGTATATTTACTTGTTCCGGCTATATAATACATGACATGTGCCTAATCTAAATTGAACTCTTGTGCAGAATTCAAGAATTTTTTCCTATTATAACAGGAAAGCCAAACTTAATCAGTGAATAAAAAGCTGTACTATAATGGTTTTTTGTGCTTGACCAAGCAGTTATGTTGCAATTTACAACCAAGCTGAGTTATTCGTTTATGGCAACTGTAATACTTTTTAATTAGGATATGATTAATTCCTTATCATAAGCAACAAGCATTATCCTTTAGTTTAAACTGACAATTATATAAAATGTGTTATAAGAGTCATCCAACACTTTTCTTCATTGGCATTTTTCTTTTTTTCTTTTTTAAAGGTGCAAGATTCATAAATATCCCTTTTCACTTTATGTGAAATTCAAAGAATATAAACTTCTACATGAATTTTCTTTTGGAAACTAGTTGCTTCTTCCCTCCCATTCTTTAAATTCAAGTGTCATACCACTGTCTTCGAAAGGTATTTAAAAGGTCAGTGATGTTCCATAACAAGCAGGCAGAATGTCAACCAAAAGAAGCAACAATTCTTGCAATCCAAGAAAAATTGGAATTTTTTAAAAAAAAGTATTGCAAGTATATAAATTCTGTTGTCAACCTCTTCAAGAAAATATTAATTATCTTTAGATGTTATAAACTATGCTCAAAATGTTCAAAGAGCAGATATAGTAAATTTAAATTTAAAAACAAAATAATTGAAATTTTGTTTTCAGGCAGGAGACTTGCAAGCAATGCACTTAGCTTTACTTATAAGAAACACATGCACTACACTCCATTCCACAAGGAATAGGTACAGGAAAATAATTCCAATCACTAGGATAGAAGGCTCATTGTCATGTACCATTCACTTGCATCCAGCCTAGCTGGGAGTTTCTCAACTTCTGTAAACTTTTAACTTTAAATACAGATGTTGATATAGCACTTTAGTGCCCAGCCGTCCAATTCCTGGCTGTCTTTGCTGATCCTGTAGTCAATTTTTTTTGTTAAAGACCCATTGCTCAAGATGATGCTTATCAAGTATTTGTAGTGTTTACATTGGTCAACTGGATGTTATTAACAGTGATTTTTGCTTCTATAGGCTGGGTATTTGGCATGAGCTGGTAAAGTAATTCAGTTTTGCTCAGGCAGATAGGCCAAACAGTATAACAGTTTTTGAAAATTTGTTTAGCAATAACTGTGGATCACTGTCTTTGTGTGCCAGGAGCACTCGGGCATTAACAAGGAGAATTTATTAACTGTAGGGGACACTTGGTGCATTCAAGAGGCAAAGGTCAAAGAGAGAGTTGTTCAATCACTACCTGATGTACACTCCCTCTTTCAGACCTTGGGCAGCATGTAACAATGTGCAAGAAAAGAACAGATTGAGTAGGACTGGAACTAGCACACAGCCCTGTGTTACACCATTGGAAATGGCAAATGCAGTTGATGTATCACCATTGTAAAGAACCTGCCCTGTCATTGTATCATGGAGTAGTTGACTCAACTTCAAAAATTTCCTCGGGCACATCTCAAGATGATCCAGGAGCCTCTCTGCTTAGTGTCAAATGCCTTTCTTGTGTTAATAAAGACAAAGAGGCTTGTTCTACTTGAAGCACTTCTCCTGGACTTGCCTCATGGTATATATCTTGTTGCTGTACTCCTTTCTGGTTGAAAACTACACTGTGCCTCTGGAAATTTCTTTCTGAGACAATGACAAGTCTGCTTACGAGAATGTGGGCAAAGATCTTGCCTGTGATGGATGACAATGAGATATCTCAGCAGTTTCTGCAATCTAAATTGTTTCTCTTAGTTTTATAGAGAGCCACAATGAGAAGCATATCCTCTGTGGATCAAATGTCTTCAAAGACATTTTGGAATGCAAGATGTTGGGGTCTAGTGTTTTGCAGATCTCAGCAGGAAAGCTATCCTGCATGTTGCTTTATTTGAGGTCACCTACATGAGATCACTTTCTTAATCTCATTAGTAGAAGGAAAGTAGGTTTAGGACAGGGGTGTCAAACTGGCGGCCTGTGTGCCAGATGCGTCATGTGCAGACCACACCCATCCCAACTCCGCAAATGGGAAAAACATCACAAAACATCATGTGACAGTAATGTGATGCTGCAAGTTTGACATCCATGGTCTAAGACATTGAAGACTGGCAGCTGAGGAATCTGATGATCAGTCTCAACCCATATCAGGCCCAAACCCAGAGATGAGACAGTGAGATCCAATTGAGTTCAAAATTGTATTTACTTGTACCTAATGGACAGAATCTTGCCAAACTAAAGCTATAACTTTCTAACCTACTAGATATATCCTGAGATATTTTAAGGTTTGATTACCCTGGACCTCTTCCCTCCACCCCCATCCATTTTGGGATTACACACTCTCTTAATCTGGGTCTTTTTCTGAGAAAGCTCTGAGTTGTAAAAAAAAAAAAAGCATTCCTTTACTGCTGCTGCTGCTGCAAATCCACATTTCATCTCATCCCATCTCATCAGGTGAAACAAGAGGATGCATCCTAATTTAGAAGGACCATAGACACTGAAGAACTCTCTGGTAATATATGTATCTGCATAGCATTTCACCTGCTCAGTCTTCTTGTGCCACCATTTCTTCTGTATTTCTCACAGTTTTATCTATACTTTAAATTAGGTAAAGGTAAAGGTTCTCCTCGCACATATGTGCTAGTCGTTCCTGACTCAAGGGGGTGGTGCTAATCTCCATTTCAAAGCCGAAGAGCCAGCGCTGTCCAAAGACGTCTCTGGCATGATTAAACGCCAAAGGCGCATGGAACATTGTTATCTTCCCACCAAAATGGTTCCTATTTTTCTACTTGCATTTATACATGCTTTCGAACTGATAGGTTGGCAGAAACTGGGACAAGTAACAGGAGCTTACTCCGTTATGTGGTGCTAAGGATTCAAACCGCTGAACTGCCAACCTTTCTCATCGACAAGCTCATCCTCTGAGCCACCGTGTCCCTATACTTTAAATTACTGATACTCAATTTTTTCTTTCTTTGATGTAATGATGGATTATTCTGCCAGTCTGCCAAGGTCTTGTTCTTGGCCTGGAGGACTGCTGAAATGGTTTTGTGGTTTCCATCAACCATTTGTCAGGCCTGCAGCCATATATTTTTGGAGGCTATTTGGAACCCTGACACCAGTCTTGATACGCCCATACTTTCAGTCCAAGTACACGTTTTGTAGTCTGTGTGATATCTTCTTTACACTGTATCCACTTTTCAAAATGGGTTCCTACAAGTGATAAATTGCTGGAGAGGTTTTCATTAAGTGCATCTTGAAAGTGTTGGACTTGATCTGTTTCTTGTAGACTGCTGATGTGGATTGGTTTTCTGACAGTTCTTCATTGCTTATGATGTAAAGGGGCTATGTGAAGTTTGAGAAGTGACCAGACCAGCTTGTGATCTGCCTAGTATTCAGCATCTCACACAGTATAAATGATGGTGATGTCTTTAAGATCGTGCTGACGTACTATGACATAGACAGGTAGGTCCCAATGTTTGATCTAGGATGCATGTAGGTAGTTTATACTTGTTTGCAAATCTGATCATAGTGTTAGCGATCAGAGGTTGTGCTTCACAAAGTATATTAGTATCTTTGAAGCATTAAAGCAATTATGTCCTTTTTAAGACTTTCAGAGTGGCTTCAATGTCTGCCCAATTTATAGGACATGTCTCTGCATACACAGATAACATTTCTGTTAGGGCCAGATGTGGAGCAAAACAAATATGTAAAGCAAATACACGAAGATGGCTGTTGATAGTCTAGAAGCATCTTCCAAAGAATACAGCTACTTTAATGATACATTCACACAAAAACTGTTTTTGTTTAAAACAAAACAATCCTATGAAATAGTTCATCACATTCAGGAATCAACAATTGCCTGAAAATTATCAGAAATAAATAGCCTGTTTGGTGTGGTGGTTAAGGCTCTAGCCCAGAAACTGGGAGATTCTGAGTTCTAGCCCTGCCTTAGGCACAAAGCCAGCTGGATTACCTTGAGCTAGCCTCTTTCTCTCTGTCCTAGGAAGGAGGCAATAGCAAATCACTTCTGAGAAATCCTGCCAAAAAAACCTACAGGGATTTGTCCAAGCGATCTCCAAGAATTGGACACAATTGAATGGAAGAAAAACAAAAACAAAAATCAATAAAGAAAAAAACTTAGCAATAAAACTCATATTCATCTATTAAACATTAAAATATCTTACCATCTTGCTGACTTTGAAGATTTTGTGGACTTTGAATTCTTTCTTCGAGATTTGAACTGAGGTCAGAATTCACAGCAGACATTCTGGTGGAATCACTCAAATCAAATTCATCACTTTCTATGGAACTTTCGTCCTGAAAATATAATATTCCATATCACAGCTTATTTAAAATATCAAAGTAATTTTCAAACATGTTTGTACTGAATTGGATTATGTCACCTAATAAGAAATTTAGTAAGAAATACATATAAAAAGTCAGCACACTTAAGATTGTAAGCATCTATATAAAGAATAATTAACTGGCTGATTTCCCCCTGAAAACCTATATTCTCATTCTCTCTCTCTCTCTCTCTCTCTCTCTCTCTCTCTCTCTCTCTTTCTCACACACACACACACACACACACACACACACACACACACTGTATAAATGGATTCATAATTAATAATTAAATGGAACAGAGATAGAAGGTTGCGCA